CACCCGGCCAATTTACTTTGGTTCAATGCCGTCTCAACAGTGGCAGATTGTCTGTCTCTGGGCAGTTTTGGTCATCGACCATCTTTGACGCTACACTTGGGTTCCCTGGGGAAGGGCCTAGATGGTCTATTATCTCTGCGAATATTGATTCCTTTGCTACAAATGTGAACTGCCTGCAATGGGATGCTGATGCCTTCATGCTTCAGGAAGCACGTATTGCAGAATCCAATATGGCGGAGGCCCAACGTAAGGCTGCGCTCTGCAATTTTGGCCTCTTCTGCTCTCAACCTCTTCAGAAGCTGAAAGCGAGCAATGGCACCTTTCGGATTCCCTCAGGAGGGACTGCAACATGTGCTCACAAGGAGCTTACACAGCTTTTTGATGTCAAATCTGACCTTTCGGGTACATGGGCCATTCTGTGTGCGACTACTCGCGTCACTGCCACCTGGCATCAAGTCAACCCGACGGTTAAGGTCCTTGCTTTCAACTTTTATGCAGTGGCCAATGCTGCCTCCGAGCGTGCCAAGTTCGAGAGAAACAATGAACTTCTGGACCAGATCCTGTTGGTGCTTCCTGTGCTTATTGCCGGGGACTTCCAAATGGAACCTGGCATGTATCCTGCTGTCCAACTTGCTTTGGATCATTGGGGGTGGGCAGATCCACTGTTACAAACAAATGAAGTTGGGGAGGTATTCCGGCCTCATACCTTTTTCCAGCAAGCTGCAACTGTTGATGGTGAGGGCCAGTCGTCCATTGATGGCATTTTGATGAATCGAACTGCATTGGCCGCCCTAGTCCGCATCGAAGTTCTGGACCATCGTGATCGTCAGCATCGTCCAGTACAAGCTACTTTTGCTTGGGATCGTATTCAACAAGCTGGCACTATTCTCCAGAAGTTTGCCATGCTTGATGTTTCACAAGTTCCTAAATGTGATGCCTCAGATCCGGTTTGCCCATACAATCAATCATGTGAGCAACTCTGGTTGCAATATGAAACAAGATTTCAGGCTGAACCTGCGTCGGACAGCAAATGGGGTCTTTTCAATGAATTTGCCCTGGATGTGCTCTTGCAGCACGGTGCAAAATGGGAAAAAGGCCCTCGTGCCCGAGGCCGTCTTCCCAAATTTCGGAAGACACAGATCGCTACACCACAGGAGCTCTCTGGAAATCCTACTTCGCCTCGACTTCTCTTGCTTCGGGCATGCCTTCGCTCGCTACGTGAGTTGACATATCGATTTGGTCGAGCCTGCACTGGAGAGGCTGATTCTCGAACTTTCTTCTTCACGCAGAAAAAGCTGCTGCGCCGACTCAAAGAAGCCTCACTTGTTCCGATGAATATGCACCAGGTATTTGCATTTGATCTGCCTCATTTGACTGATTTGACCTTACAGGCCATCACTGAGGAGCTCAAGCTGATGAAACAGGCAGCAATCCGGAAGTGGCGGGAAGCGATGAAGAATGCCACTACCTCGCTGGCTATTGGCAAAGTTGTGTATCAGTATCTCAAGCGTAAAGGCCGTGTTCTTCCTCAAAATTTGGTGGAGGATGACGATGGCAACATTGTCTATGACCCGCAGACTGCAATGAACACTATTGCTGAGAAATGGGACACCGTTTTCTCTGTCAATGCCAGTCATCAACATGAAATGCAGATTTTGAAGCAGGTTTGGCCCTATATTCACGACAAGGGTCAATCTGTTGTGTTGGGGCCCATCACGGAGACTCAACTCTGGGAGCAAGCTGCACGTCGTAAACCTGATGCAGCTGCTGGCTTGGATGGGTGGAACACCCGTGAGGTACAAGCTCTTCCTCCTATAGCTTTCCGACCGGTTGCTGCCTTGTTCAACGAAATTGAAGCGGGCACTTCTGACTTTCCGACGATTCTTACTCAGGTGAGGATGATCATTTTGAATAAGGATGGCAGTGATGCTCCCTTGTCCAAACGCCTGATCTCGCTGCAGTCTATTTTTACCTTGGTGTACACCGGGCTCCGTTTCCTGCAGCTTCAGACTTGGCAGCAACAGGTGATGCCTCCCCAACTCAAAGGAGGCATCAAAGCCAGACAGATGTCCGAAGTACACATGACCTTGCAGCTGGAAATCGACCACGCTCATAGCTTTCAAGGATCCTTTGCAGCACTGAAGCTCGACAAGTCAAAATGCTTCGATCGCTTGATGCCCAAACTATGTGCTGCAATTATGTTGGCGTTGGGCCTCCCTGCCACACTGGTGCGAGGTTTCTTGGGCTTTTATACCCGAATGACCCGATTCCTCTCCTTTAAACAATGGACTAGGGAGAGATCGATTTCCATGCCAAATGGTGTTGTGCAGGGATGTTCCCTCAGCTTACTCTGCATTAATATACACATTGCTATCTGGGCCTGGATCATTTGCAAGATTGATGGTGTCGCTTTTCGAGCTTTCATAGATGACACATATCTGTGGACTCGTCAATCCACCATTGATGGGCTTGTCGCTGCAGTCCGAGCAACTGAATTGTGGGACTCGCTTTGTGGACAGTTCCTCAACACGAGCAAGTGTGAAATTTTCGCCACGAGCAGTTCTCTCCGCAAGGCTCTTAAGCAGGCTTTCCCCCAAATGAAATTGGTTGAGGTGGTCAACATATTGGGGGCCTTTGTCCAAACTACGAAGAAGAATGTGGGCAGTTTCCCGGTTGCCAAGCTTCAGAATGCACTCAGAGACTGTGAGTCCATTCGTGCTTTGCCGTGCGACAGCTACAAACGTGCCCAGATCTTGGCAACGAAAGTTCTGCCTCAGATTGCCTTTGCACCCCAACTGAACTTCATTCCCAAGCGTTTGTTGGCTCGCTTGCAGAGTGCAGTGGCGGATGCGCTGTGGCAGGACCGACCTCGCTGGCGCTCCAAGCACCTGTTGCTGTGCATTATACACAAGGCCCATAAATTAGATCCTTTCTTGTGCCGAGCAGTGACAACGATTGTGGAGTCTGTTCGTTTCTTGCAACAATCTCCCTCTGCCCGCCAACAATGGCAACAGCTTTTTGATCAAGATCAGCTTACTGCACAAGCGTGGATGACTCAGTTCTCTGTGTTTGGATCAGCCCCAGTACACTTCCTTGACTTTTCGGTGAAGGACTTGAAATGCGTGCTCAAGAGCTTAGCTGCCAACAAGTGTTATCAGACAGCGTGTTTGATGCCGCGCAAGGACATCTATACTGCTTCTGGGTTCTTGGACCTTGCCTTGACGCTCTCAGCCAAGAAAAAACTGGCGAGTGTGCCTAATGATGGCTTTTCTTTTCTTTTTCATTGGGAGAGTGCCTTAGTTGGACGCACACTTACAGCGGACCGCTTAGCAGCAGCTGGTTTAGTTGATCGGCCTCACTGCAGGTTTTGTGATGCGCCCAAGGAATCCATACAGCACTTTGTTGACGAGTGTGATCACCTTCCAGCAGATTTGCGACAGCCGTCAACTGCCTTTTCCATGGGGCCCAATTTCCCCATGCTTGGCATTGTTGAGCTCCCGCTTGCGACTATCCGGAAGAAACTTGTCTGCTCCAGCCCGTCACATGTACAGGTGGCTCAATGGATGGGTCCTCTTTCTTCAGTTGGCCATGTCTGGACTGACGGGTCGGTGCAGCTCACGAATTACCCTTGGCTTGCATTAGCTGCCTTCGCAGTGGTTGGGTCAGACCAATCGGTGCTAGCTGCAGGAAGTGTCCATCACTGGAGACTATCAAGCTATTCTGCTGAATTGTGGGCAATTTTAGTAGCTTTTGCCATGGCTCCGCAACCACTGGTCATCCATACAGATTCCCTCACTATTGTTCAGCAGTTCTCGTCGCTTCTTGGTGATGGTGTGGTTCAGTTGGAATGGACGCATGCAAATTGGTGGAATTTTCTTTACAACTTGCTGGTCCAGAGGAGGATTTTCCATGACTCCCCCCTCCAACTGATCTGGTGCCCTGCGCATCTATTGGAGCACATTCCTAGCTCCATGGTCACGGAAGAGGAAGCGGTGAGAGTTGGCTCTTCGCGGCAAGATATTATTCTCAACCGGCTGGCTGACACTGTTGCCAAAAACCACATTCAGAAGGCTGCTCGTGACATCAAGGCTGATATTGTCATGAAAGAAGCAGATGTTTTTGCGCGGCAGTTATGGCTTTCCAAATGCAACCGCTTCTGTAAAAAACCGGCTGCTAACACTTCATGCCCTGGGGAGACAGTTGCTCAAGCTCCTGTACCTTTCACTGCTCGCGAGATGTGCCCTAGATGGCCGTGGGATGTATCATCTGCACTCTATACTTGGCACAGCCAAGTTGATCTGGATGTTTCCTTTCGTGCAACTCCTTCATTGAGCGAAGCAAATTTCCGGACATTCCTTCGTTTCTGTAGCTCGGTCAAATGGAGAGTGGGTGATGGCTATGCCTGCTCGGTCTTTGAGTTGGCCGTCCTGGCTTTCATCGAGGGATGGAGATTCCAACACCAGGTGGGAACCTTGTGTACGCCACAAGCATATGCGACCCTGATTCGTGCAGGGTTGGCCTTTTGCAAACTCAAGCAGATTGTGGTGGCTCCCTTGTTGCTGGAGAAAGGCAATAAAAGCAACGGCAAGACCTTTCCCAAAGGTGTGTTCGTGGGCGCCGAAGCCTTTTTGCCAAACCCTGCCCTCGAGATGTTGGCCAGAGCTTTCTCGAAAGGTGCTAAGCAATCTCCTTCGACTTGGAACATGCCGTTCGACTCGCTCTTGTAGCGACTTGGTTGTCTTACTTGTGACCTTCTTGCAGAATGCAGGGAGGTTGCCACAGACCCCGACGTCTTGGCCGGAGAGCAAAAAAAAAAGGAAGCTCCCCCCGGCCGCCTTTAGGGCGGCAGGGGGTGGAGCTTCCTTGAAGAAGCGTGAGCTATCCTGCATCCATACTAGTAGCTTAAGTAAGGTACTAGCTCTCTCCTTACTTAACTAAGTAGGCGTCTACTTAATTAAGTATGGAGGGAGGGAGCGGGCTAACAGTATATCTCAGTTTTTCAGGCAGCCTGAAGGAGATGGAATTCTTCATAATTCTTCTGTGGCACGTGTCCACTCTTCGTGGTGGTCAGCCAACAACGGGCCCCTGCAGGCAACCTTCCCTTCGTGAGGGTTGACAAGTCATTTGCAGTAGTGTACAGGCCAGGCGATTCATCAGCCAGCACAGATTTGGCTGCCCGAACACAGCAAAGAAACTAAGGCAATCAGCTAGCAAACACGCAGAAGGATGGCAGGGATTCGAGCTCAATCATCCGCATCTGCTGTCATGGGTGACACTGGCGAATTGGCTTCGCTGCACTCGCTGCCTTGGTCAAGTGCAAGCCAACTTCATTGCTTGTCCTCAAGGAGTTGTAAATTGAACCGCTAACTGAACCATACTTGCTACGGCCTGTCCGGTATGTGGTGCCTATGCATCCGCAACAAGTGCATGTGATTGGTGACCCTACTGGCCAGTCGATTGCTGCAAGGCAGGGACATCTGATGGATTGATCATCCGATACCGTTCCAATATGTTCCAATAACTTTTCCCGATTGCCAGTTGATTCATTCTTTTGCGATTTCGCAGCGGTACCCCGCCCAAAGGCTACCCTTCCACCCTAACTGACCCCTCTCGTTCCATCTAGCGGCCTTCCCGTGCCTTGGGTGTTGCTGGCAGTTGCTCGATGAAGTCTTTGAGCCAATCGTCTGTGAAAGGCATGTCCTGTCATGGCCGACAAAAACTTTGCAGAAATTGACATGCCAACCTCCTACACCTGCCACAGTCGTTATAAACATTGATAGGCCACGATCCCGTTCAACCAAGGCATAGTTATTGAATAGATACATAGAAATACATGTAAAAACAACAACTATAAACCACAATAAATGCTTCAAGAGTCAGGCTCGTCAGCAATCTTCCAAACGACCTCTGCGGCGTCAAATGCGTTGCGCTCGCACATGAATTTCCTTATTGCTTGGCATGCTGGCCATGGCAGCGCAGCCAATGGACAGGCACGTGGATCGCCTTTCGCATGGGCAACCAGCACCTCACGTAGTCACGGAGCTGCACTACACTACTGCTGGTTTAGCTAAGGTACCGCAGGGTGAAGCAACATACGCTATGATTCTCTCCCACCCTGGCCGGACTCCACACATGCAGGTTTCTTGGACGGGCCAAAGGGGAAATGACAAACCTGAGAAGGGGGGACGAAAGCCAGCTGCCGCTTCATTACGTGGGCCCCTGTCTCCACTCGAGTCCCCTCTGCCCATTGTCCAAATAGTGTTCAAAGCCCTTCATGCTGCAAATGATGCACTACTCGGCGTCCATTACATCACTCGCATCACCAAACCCCATTTTCACTGCTTTTCGGACCCTCGCTTTGGAGCGCTCTCCCCCACCAAGCTCTGGGTTCACCCTATCAAAGGTTCCACTCAGCGACCACCCCACCCCCACACCCCCGAAACTCACTTCATTCGCCCTAAAAGCTCAAGCCTTGCCTATCGGCTGGCTTTCGTAATGAATCGGGCCGAAACTAGATATAACATTTTCCAAAAAATGATGTGCCCAGGGTGGCTTCGCCCCAACTCCGAGCTTGTCGTGTTCACATGAAACAAGCTTCTTGTCCATTTGCTTGCAAGTGAGATCTGGATTTTCGAAGCCAATCTGCTGAGACCACTGCAGTGTGTTTGTTTTGAACTCAGCCGCTTTCCTCCAGATTCCTACTTGCTTAATACCGTCTTTCACTATCAGTTCTCTCTCCGTCTTTCTAATTTTAAATAACAATTTGTCCATGTCATATTTGAATGTGCCGTGCTCAGGGTCCCAAATTATAGTGATGAAAGCAAAGCAATATGGGCAACTGGTGACATCAAATGATTTTTGTTAGTTTTGCACCGCCATCAAAGGGCATCTTGAACTCTGTTTCATTACAGTAACTCATATAGGGCATCATAGGACAATCTTGTTATCCTGATATGATTCATATGATTATGTACAGTAGATATCCACAAGCACCCTTGTGAGCAAAACGCATTTCTGTTGAAGCTGATGGGCAGCACTTTGACAACTTTTATTGACAATGCATCCTGCGAGCTTTCAAGTTTCACACCCTTCTACCCTTGCAAGTCGAACAAACCCAAAGTGTTTAATTGCCAAGGTTGAGATTTTTGCAAACGGCCTGGCACTGGAGTGTTTCCTTCCCTTTCCAAGGGTTTGTTTCATGGGTTGGTGACCAACAACAGGTTCCACACACATTGGCTGTTCTTTTCTGGTGTGTTTGCCCTTTGTGGCAAACGAAATTCCTGCCAAACACGGGCTGCACTTGGTCAGGCTCAGAACAAAATGAATCTCATTGTGAGACTGTGAACCTTGGGCTGCCCCTAGTAGCGTCCTTGCTCCTAGTAGTACGGCCAGGAGCCCCTAGTAGCTTCTTGCTCATGGCAAAAGTCTGGTCTGCTTCCGCCAGTACAAGATCTTCGTGCCCCGCTGTTTGAGTATGTCTTGTCTTGTCTTCCCCAGCCTCTGGCTCTGAGTAAACAGTCACAGCACATACATGTGTATGTGTGTGCAACCATGATGAGAATAAGCTTGACTGAACTAAAACGTGTCTGTTGAAAACAAATGGGAATGCCCACATGACATGGTCTTGGAACAAGAAAGCATCCTTTTGTACATGTGTTGTGGGCATCATTGAACAAGAATAGAAAAGAATTACAAACTGGTCTGCAGATCTGCGACCAAGCGTGAACGTGCCCATTCTTGCCAATAGTTGGAGCTTACAGAGAGATATAGTGCTCCACGCCACAACCGCTGACGCCGCTGCAAGAGGATCCAAATAAAGCGCATTGTTCTTCTGGGCAGCTGTCGCGCTAAGCAGGCCACACCTTCACATGCATGCAATTAGGCTATTCATCACTGTAGCAAAATCCGCAAAACGGCAGGAAAACCAAGGCTCCCTTCCTGCCCCTTGCTACTAAATATAGTCGTTGCAAAAAGTACTGTATGTAAGCAGGTTTTTTTTTGAGAATTTCAAGACGGTCAAGTGGCGGGCTGACAACGGATCCAGGACGTTGAAGACTTCCAGTGGATTCAGCATCATAATCTCTCCCACTTTGGCCACAAAGTAAGCACAACCTTCAACATACCTCAGGTTTGCGGCTTTGCATTGATCTTGGCCAAGATAATGCAAAGGTATTTGTAATATAATATCGGTGGATATCATATAATGTCCACGATCGAAAACTACCCGCCAAATATAAACCTAAATCGCTCAGGGCCTCGAGACCATACTAAAAAATCAATCAATTGAGTAATTTGATGTGTTTATTTCTTTATGAGCTTCTTTTTCAATCCAGTGTAAAAGGCAATCAAACCCAAATCTTCTAGCCAATCGAAAACTATAGATTCTTTACTACATCCTCAAAACAATGTTAATGTAAAGGTTTTGACAAAGATTGACAAAGGGTACAGTACCCCTTATGGGTGCCAATGACATACAATTATAAACGATTGTCAATTACAAAACTTCCTTTCATTGTCAAATTGTCAACTGTCTCTTAGGTGGCAAAAATGAATCTGACTTTATCCTGTACAATAGTATACTTCTTTCTGACACTTTTTGAACAATTGCAAAAAAAGTCTTTCCAGATTGAACCAATTAGTTATTGAATTACACTTTTATGTTCAATGTCAATCAAGTTGAACAATAATAGAAGAGTTGTTATAGTCTTAAGATGTCTTAAGGTCTGAGTTTTTTCCGAGTAGTTCATTGTTACGACGAACAATTTTGTTGGCACCCAACAAATCACTAGGGGGAGGCTTATTTTGCGATGTGAACATTATGTCGTTAAGTGCCTATGCGATATATATATATATATTCCAAGATATGTTCAAATTGCACCCTCTAGGGTTGATCTGACCCCGTCATCAAATTATAGGAAAACACATATAAAATTGCCAATTGCGTGCAGCAATTCACCAACTGGCAGGATCGTTCTGCCCTGCATTACTGCAAGCCCTGGCAGTGTCCAGCAAGAATATAATGGCTTGGTGGATAACATGCTCTGAAGGTGAAACATAGTTGGCCCAGCACAACTCGGCCATGAAGTTGAAGAGCGCCTTGGGTCGGCCCTTTCCGGGGTTCTGTTTCTCAAAGGATTGGAATGGAGGGCCATATTCCCTTTAAAGGGTGAAGGGCACATGCGTCTGTGGGTTCAGGTGTTAGCCTCTACTGCGCCCCTGCCCGAAGGTGTTGAGTTTAAGTTGATTTTTGGGGGGGCTCTGGTTTATCGGCTAAGTTGACTTCAAACTTCAGGAGTGCTTGCATCATTCTTTTGTGCTCTACCTGATCGAAAAGAGTTCACCAACTGGCCTATGTCTATGTCAATCGGACAATGAAACTACCTTGGTGTTCAATCAAGGCACTAGCACTTTTCTGCGCGGCAGGCTTTGGGCTTGCGCTATTTCGCAAAGGCGACATGCCAAAGCCTCCTTTAATGCAGATGTTAAAGTAAGGATCTCTGAAGACCCCAGCTGCTTGCAGGCTTTCATTGTTGGCCAAACACTGTCCAAATCCCGTATGAAGTGCCGATGATCCTCAGCTTCAAGCTTGGAACGACCCAACAACACACATCAGAACTTACGCATGACAAGTCAAGCAAACCTTGGAACCTGTTCAACCACAAAATCTGACAAGCACTTGCGAAAAGCTTCCATAAAGGATCCGTACCAGTCAGCTACAATACTATACTACTACTATCTCAAATTGACCTTGAATCTTCTGATACCTTCTGCCCCTCTCCATTACAAGGGACCCTCAGGGACCCAGCACTTTCCACAAAAATAATATTGATCATCCAGCAAAGTGTCCAGCACTGTGAGCGCTGACGACACCACTTCTGCTGCCGCTGCCCGAAGCTCCAGCTCCGAAGCTGCTGCGGGGAGTCGCCTCGGCCAGCTCTGCAATGCATCACATTCATCAAGAACATATGCATGTTTGATATGTATGCCGAATGTTGGGAAAACTAAGCCTAATAGTACCAATCAGCGATGATTCGGCAACAAGGAGTTCCTGTATTTGGCGCATTGCCCGCGACTTGACTACAGTTGCAAACAAACACACTCCCATGTCCGAGGTGAAGGCAAACTCACTACACTACCACATACTGCGAATGCAACCTCCATTATTTAATTGGTGCTGATCATGATTGTGGGAGAAACTTTGAGAAACTGCTTTAAAAGGAACTGGGGCTCAAACTTCATCAATTCTTCAGGAAGTCCATGAGTCTCCTGCACTGGCGCTTCCTCTGGCGCGGAGATCACCAAAGAGTGCCTTGGACCTCAAGGAGAAGATGGGGCAATGGGGTGTGGGCACATTTGTAGGTGGGCAATCGCATAGGCTGTCTTGACACGACATTCTTTGGGGGCTTCCACAAGAAGATGCATTACAGTTGTCACGAGTGATCTGAAGGACATTGGACGATACTGGATCTGCAGCAAGCAGTGGAATGTTCTAGCAATATAGAATTGACATTTATACAGTAGATCCCGGCGCACCGATTGTGGTCCGTCGGCATCGCAAGCGACTCCGCATGGTGATTTCTGGCCGTAGTTGTGTGCAGGAAAAAAGGGTGTTTGGGGTCAACTCTGGCTGAAAGCTTTCGCAACTGACCGACATCCTTGTATCGTGTGCAAGCACTCTTGCAATCAGTTGTGTCTTGAGAAAGTTCACTGCGATGCGTCCTTTGTCAGCAAAGGCGATTCAAATGATCATGGATGTGTAATTTGATGTGATGTGTGTATAGAATATTGTATAATTTGGCAAGTGCAAATTGGTCGAGCTCATGTGCCTCATCCTGTTCATAAGTTGCTTGAGGGTTTGCATCCGGAAGCTAAGTCCAGCTTCGCTGCTTGTGAGTCAACACATTACGCCAGTAGGAAATGCGAGCAAACATTGCTGCAAGGCACGAATTAACCCTCTCCAGTGACATCCAAACAACCCCCAGCGTAATGCACAAAGAAGCACCAATATGTTGCACTGACACCCGTGCTTTTCAAACCCAAAGCTCAGGATGCTCTCAGCCTGCTCCTCAACAAGTGGAGATTACACGAGGGGGGACCATTCATGCTTTGACAGTGACTATTTGGGAGCCACCTTGTGGCGCGTGACCTGCAATGTTGCCTTGCTTGACTACGTAGAACTCTGCCATACGATCTACCAACCATAAAAAACTGCTCTGCAACCGAACTAGTGATCAATATGATCAAATTCGATATATAGATTATAGCACTAGCAAACAAGATGCTAATTGCTTTCACTGCTGCCCCATGGCCTAATTACAATTATTACTACTTGTGCTTCACCTAGGTCTCAGAATCAATTTCAGTACCCCTCACGGGCCGCTCACTAGACGTTCAAGACCTTAAATACATTCAAACACTTCATGAGTTCTGGCCACTTACCGTATGTTGCAAGTGTTCACACCCCAAAGTCCAAATGCCTGGCTTCCTCAGCTTGGGCCTCGCTGCCTTTGGAGTGTAAATCATTTCTAATGATGTAGCCTCCAAGCTAGTAGCGATGGCCTCCAACCTAATTATGAGGTCGTGGCATCCATTCTCAATGCATGTTTCCTTGAGCTCCCTTCTGTTTCTGGGGCATCCTTTACATCAAACTCTGAGACTTCTGCGCACTTCATGCGTCAGGACTCAATGAATCCATCTGAATTTGTCTGCCTGTTGAGCAACTGCTTCGTTTCTCATGCGTGGATTTCGTGTTTTCGATTCCTTTCGAAGCTTGAACCTGTCTCCGGGGAATGACCTTGCCAGTGGATTGTGCCTTGTGTCAGTGGCTGTCAGTGACTGTTTTATGGGCTCTCTCACCTGCGAATACTTGACGACATGAACCCAATTGTTCCTTGCACCTGGAGCACTATGCTTCTTTGGTTTTGTTCTGTTTCCCTGTTGCGAAAAGTGCACTGCGCCAATGGCACTGCAGCCTGAGTGATCATTGTGTTGCTCGGATGTCTTGGGGCTCTCCTGCAGAATGCCGGTGTTTCGCAGTTTGCACATGTCCATGCATTTCTTTGGGGAGTCTGCTTCCCATTGCCGGTCAATGCACCATTCTGCCCCTGACATCTTAAGATAAGACTCAGCCGAGCCTTGTAGCAAGGGATTGTGAAGAAAGCTATCTCGTTTCGACTGCAAATAGTCAGATTGCACGCAAGACCGCACTGCACTGACAAAATTCCAAGGATTATGAGCCAATAGTTTTCGAAGGCAAGTGAGCTTGTTATCAGCCAGCGTGCGATATTCACACGCATTGACCACATTGTCCAAGCCAACAGTTTAGTAAGCAAACTGTGTGTTCTTTGTCAAGCACAGGTTATCGTGCACTGAGGTCCAAGTCGGGCCAAACAGTAAGGAAGGACCACATGAATGTCTGTTGGCTCGGGCTGCGAATTAAATCCAACACACCTAGCAGCATGAACCTATTGTGAGGCATCAGAATCATCCACAGTAATTGAGTAAGCTTTAAGTTTGTTGAAGTCTAGTGTTTCTGCATTGCTACGCAGCGAACTAAAGGAAATCTCGCGAAGAAGGCAACTTGTTCAATGCCTTCCTTGTTCCGGCTTTTCTCTGCCCATTGCACTCAGTCAAATCTGCCATTCTCTTCCAGAGAATATGGAAAAGCACTGGGGCAGTGTCCCGGATTCATTCAATCTAGAGCTGTTTGAAGGCTCCGCCTGCCGAAGCAATTGTGCACCACGGTGGAAAAAAACATGACACAATAATGAATGGCAACGAAAAGCAGCACCGGTAGTCATTTCCAAAAAATAACGCCACCGAGTCAAGCCGAGTGGAGATTGTGGATTAAGTAGGCAATGAGTATATAGCACATTGGATCTCAAGGGGGTTGTTGATTTAGTTGGTCCTGCACGCTGCCTGCTGACCCAAACATGATTCTGCAATACAAAGATCAAACTGCGGCATTTACAGCTTTTAATTAGCTTCTAACCTCAAGCAACCATGACCCTCATGAGTATGCTGGCATATGTTGCATGCATGGTAGTATAAATACCCCCACTGCCCATCCTGGCCTTGGGCCTACTGGCACCGCTTGAAGCATCTAAAGTCCACAAACGTGGCGCCTTGGACGTTTGCCTGGCCACCAGCATTGCTGCAACCCTCCTCTGCGAGATGGTACAATTTACCAAAAAACATATACTATATATGGTACCCCCCCAAAATGTTTACCTTTTTAGTTTTGATTGGTACTTACGGTGCTTTATGTACATTGTTTCTGGTAGCAAATTTGAGGTGAAAGCGGGTGCCATATATATATATATATAGTGTAGTGTTTCATGATTGTTTTTCGTACCTAATATACATCATTTAAGATTGAGCAACTATGTTGTTTTTTGTTGTTACATAAGTTTTTCCCTTTGCACCCCTCGTGCAGTGCAGGTGAAGATTATATTCAAAAATCTAACACTTCACGCTCTTTTCGCTTGAGCGGTTGCGGCCTGTAAAGACCAGGTGTGTTGTCATCTCGACATGTGACTTGCACATGGAGGTACTAGTGTGAACATCTCATGTGAAGAGTGTTACACTCCTCCTTTGCATGGAGCGTGTTGAAGCTCCAAGCAACAAAACACTCTCAGCTCTTTGCCAGGTTGGTGTTCTTTGGCATTGATTGCTCAGCTTTCTCTGTCAGGTGGATGTTCACCAGCGGAGATTGCTCTCATGCGTTGATTGCTCCTCAGCGCCTTTGCCTCAGCCCAGCTGCTTCTGCCTGCTCGACTTGTTGTCTTAGAGCTTCTCGTTCTGCAGCCGCTCTCCTTTCTCGCGCGTGGTCCATCCACTCTCTTGTTCCAAGGGCCCAGCCATAGCCTCTTGGAGACTCAGGGATCTCCTCTTCTGGCTCAGGCTCATAGTGAAGTCGCCTGATCAACCATTTTCCACCATCTCTCATCCAGTTGGGGTTCTCGATGAAGTACTCCTCGCCATCTTCAGGGGCGTCGATCGCGAGGTCGAGGAGTCGGTGCATCTGGATCTCACCTGTGTCTGGATTCACCCAGAACACAATGCCAGGCATGTTGTACTCCATGTAGCACTCTGGGTGTTCACAGTGTTCACCCAGCTCTTGAAGTAGGCCTGCGTGTCGACGAAGTTCTCGAACTGCGTCCGTCACCTCATCACCAAGTTCTCCTGCCACACGTAGAACTTGTTCAGATCCACTGCCTTCAGGTTCTTCAGCAGGTTGGTCATCTGCTGTAGAAGGTTGTTCTTCTTCAGATTCTTCTCCACTCAAGCTTCCAAATCCTCCATGGCGTTCAAGACGTCCATCAATGTCCAGGAAGTACTCCTCTCCAGGAAATGCTTGAGATCGATGTCGAAGAACTCTGTACGTTGCCATTTCTTGACCAATGGGGTCCCAATCTTCAACTGTTGCGATGACACCATCATCGTCCACATCCATGGCGTCCTCTGTGTCCATGGCGTCCTCTGTGAACTCATCTTCAGTGGGTTCTCCAACAGAGGTGTAGGCTGTCTCCGTGAGGTTCTCGAGTTGTGGTAACTCTTCTTCTTCTTGTCCATCACCTTCTTCTTCTCCTTCAAGTAGTAGGTGGTTGACATCTCCGCCTTCAGGTTCATCCCATAGTTCTCCATCGCGATCACTTCCGCGAGCTTCCGGATCATGTCCGGCTGGTTCTCCAAACAGGTTGAACCTTGTCTGCTAGACCTTTCGTTGTTCTCCTCCTCGATGCGGATCTTGAGGGGGTGAAGTTTCTCGTTGAAATTCTCCTCCACCTTCAACAGGTCGTAGGTTGAAGTAGTCCCTGAGGTAGAACAGGATGAAGACCACCACATTGAATGCCACCATCATCATGCCTGTCTGCAAGATCTGGTAGCCCATCTCGGTCATGAGAGACCATGCTCCAATCGAAGCCGAATGAAGCACCATCAGCGCTAAGTCGCAACCTTGCACACTCATAGCCAATCCCATGGCTACAAACAAAACTGCATTTGCCGTGAAAACCATCAGGAAAATTTCACGGTTGCTGTCACTACTGGTCGTCTCTTCGACTTCCATTCCGTTGCCCTGCTGACTCAAAGCCGCCAACATTAAACATGTCAGTTGTTGTACTCTCTCAGGTCTGAGTCCTTTGACATGTCGAATCTCTTCTTCTTGGGCTCCAACTCGTGGTCCACCAGCGAACTCAAGTAGCCAATGAGGCCTAGCAAGAATCTCAGTCTCTTGCTGCTGTGACTCTTCGTTCCCAAATCGCTGCTGTTCTCTTTTCCCGGCGCAGGACGAATTGCAGCTTCTCGTTCTTCAACTTTCTGCTGCACCCACAAAAGTCCAGTGCTTATGTGTCGGGTTCTCTGAACTCCTTGTCGTTGGAGTAGCGCTCGAGCAGAGGAACTGTCAATCCTCAACTCCAAGACCACCTTCATGTTCAGCACGGCCTCCAACATTCGCTTGATGTAGATTCCATCTGCCATGCCGCTGACTGCTGAAATGAACTCAGCTTCACAACTTGACAAAGCTATGCTTTTCTGGCTCCTGCTTGCACTCCAAAAGAAGATGCCGTTGAGGTACATGTGAATGCATGACATAGATCTCCTTGTAGTCCTGTCCGATGCCCAGTCGCTGTCCGTGAAGACTTCAAGTAGGCTCGGATGTTGTGTTGCAGCCATCTTCACATCATCATTCCTTTCTCCCATAGCCGAAGCCATTGCGAAGCTCTGCTTCATCTCCTGGACGTAGTCAGCCGTGTGCTTCAAGTAGAGCACCAACTGCTTCAACTCCTTCTGGTCCAGGGTGTCAGGTCCTGTGACCTTTGAAGCCAACTGTCGAACTGCACATTGGATGTCTGGCCTTTCTGTTGACATGTACAGCAAAATGCCAACACATGTTCTGTAGATGCTCGACTCTTCTTTGGAAAGAGGTTGTCCTTGTAGTCCTTTCTGGAAGGTGCCAGTTGTAGGCGTCTGCTTGCCCTTGTTCACGTGCAGGTTCAACAAGTCCACCAACTTCTTCACATACTTCTGGTCCATCCTCACAGTCATTGAACCAGATCCATCAGAAGCAAAATGCCTGTTGAGGAATGCGCATTGCCCGGCAACCTTAGGTGAACAGGGTCCTTGCACTTGCAGTGTCCATTCCTGCTTTCTGAAGCTATCAAGGAGCTTCTCAACATCTTGTTGACTTCCAACCAGCTGTAGGTTATCAACGTGTGAAGACATCACCAGGGGTGTCCTGCCAAGCTTGTAGAAAACTGCGGGGTTTGCAGGATATGGTTGTAACCCTTGGTCTCTTGCCACTTTGCCTAAGTGGTCATACCATGCCTTGGAACCAACTCGTTGTCCAGGAAGACATCGTCCAAGTTCAAAGAACTCGCCATTGCATTCCACATAGACCTTCTCCTCCTGGGGAACCATGAGGTAGGCGTCCTTGACATCGACTGCCCATAGACCAAGTTCTCCTTGGCTCGACTGAACCAATGCTGCCCACGATTTCACTCCAATTGCATTGCTTGTGGGACTGAACAGATTCTCCATCTCAGGCGAAAGAAACTTGTAGTCTCTGCCAACCAGTCTTGACCCCTGAGCATCGGGTATTGATTTATATCAATCTAATCCTATATAAACATGTTGATATTGATTTGCATCGTTTCTCTTGATTTTTCTAATATTCTAATTTTTCTTGCAACAACATGTATTGATTTTTATAATGGTTTTGATTGATTTGGATATTGATTTTGGAAGTGCATGTTTTCTGCAAATCTTTGGCCCAAAGTGCTTCACAGGTAGCAAATCACAGGGCCCTCTTGACAAAAGGGGGCTGACATCCCTTTTGACAAAAAAGGGATGTCTAGAGGTGGCAATAGGCACAATGTCAAGCCACAAGTGGATGAGGGTTTGCTGCTGAAGCTATTTCATCAGCAATCTGAGCTGATCAAAGACCTGGGGGCATATGAGAAGATATCAAAAACCCAAGCCATCAACCCCAAAAGGTTGATGACAGTTCTGCCCTTGACAAAAGGGCTTTTGCAGCTGGAGAATACAGGAGAGATCCATGGGCAATGCCTAAGGAAGGCCCTATTCCAACTCTTGTTGGAAGACCCATCATTGAATGATTCCAAATTCTCTGGTGGTGTGTGGGTAGGATTGAAGGTTGAAAGGTTGGGAGTTTTGCTGTGTCACATGAGAAAATTGGCAAACTCCAACCTTCAGCAATGTGCTGCCAAGCTCAGTGGCTCTGAGCTGTTGCAGCTCAAAGATGTAGTGGAGATGATGAAAAAGAAGGACACCCTTGGCCAAAGGGTGGGAGGAGCTGATGAGCAGGAAGAGGAAAAAAAGATGACCATGAAATGCCAAAAAGAAAATTGCAGAAGGAGCTCAGCCTAGACACTGAAGGGTATCCTAAATGCTTTGGCACACCAGATGCTGAGAAGAGCTCTGGCAGCAAGGATGCCTTGACAAAAGGCATTGATCTTGAGAATGGTACCCTCTTGTCCAAAGAGGGCCTTGAGAATGACACCCAGGGTCACCCCCCCAGCTTCTTGAGAAGAAGGACAGGGCAATTGGCCCTAGCCAATAGGGCAAGATCTGATTTGCCAATACATGCAAACAATGAAGAGCTGAAAGAAGAGCCGGGCATCATGAAGAGACCAGCAAGGAAGAAAGGAGGCCCCCCCCAAAAAAAACAATGAAGAAACCCAGTTCCTTGGCCAAAGGATCTGGAAAGGTAAAGAAAGATAAGCAGGATTTGGTTACAACATCAAGTGCTTCTGCTGGTGGGAAGCCATGGACAAAGCTGAGAGTCACAACCCCAAAAAAGCCACCTTGGAGAGTTTACATTTGTGGCACCAAGGCCAAGGGTGGCACAGGCAAACTGTCTTTGATTGTGCAAACAACACAAGTTGGCCACCCAAGGTATGTGGAAATCATGGGAGAAATCAAGCAGAAGCTGGAGCAGGAACACCTCAGCAAGCAAGAGGCAATTGATCTCAGGGATCACTTGTACAAGACCTGGTAGGTTGACCTACCAGTTTGATCTCTTGACAAAAGAGATGCAGTTTGGTCTGTTGACAAAAGGGGCCCATGTACAGCTTTGTAGGAGCAACTTGTTCTCTTGACAAAAGAGAACATAT